ATATATATGATATGATATCTATCATATCAAAGGGCCAGGTCAGGCGGGTCACACTACCGAAGCCTGTCAGTTGCATTAATTTAATTAACAAAAAACAGCCTTGGTCCAGGCTGGAGTAACCCAGTACCGGACCGGGGTCAGGCCAACGGCCTGAAACAGGTCCAGCCTCACTGCCGGGCTGAAAGGGTACACCTACATGATCCTTGGACCTGAAAATGGATCAAGCGATACATCAACAAGCTATCCGCTGAAATAACGGAAACCCAAAGGAACGACAAAGAGACAGTCCTAAATGCGGAGGGAACTCCGTGCAGAAAAAGAGATGCAATGCAGACTAGGCCTCAAGCCTAATCTATACAACAATGTCTGGTCTGAGTTGACCCAAAAAGCAGAAAATGTTTGACCTGTGTCGGCCAAGAAAGAGCAAAATGTCTAACCTGTGTCGATCAAGAAAGAGAAAAGTATCTCCTAAGCCAAAATGACTGAACATAAATCAACCCTGAACCCTAAAGGCAAAAGAAAAACAAGATCAATGTCCAACATCAAAAAAGAATGTGGCACAGTCTCACGTGCCCTGTACAAATACACAAAAGAAAGGGAGCTCAGTCGCATGGGAAAGGTAGGTAGGGCTGGCGGCAAATACGAACTCAAAATAAACTCCAAGGGGGTACCCACACAACCATATGAAACATCATCAGGCTCAGAGAGAGAATAACAACACGACAGCAGGATTAATGGAAACCATCAAACGGGCACCGCCAACTGAAAGAAAAAGGGCACTCACCAAAGGGAGCACACAAGGGAGCCTGGACAAATAGGGGGGCTATGCCGACATAGACATACGGCCAAGGGCTGCAAGCAAAGAAAACATACCCTCTGGAGGAGGGCGCACAACATAGGGTAAGGCAGTAGGGAGGCAGACGAATACACCCACATGGAGAGGGAAAATAGGGGTCATCATGCGACTGGAGGGTAAACTCGAGGGTGGTGGATAGATGGGAATGATGGAAACTCTGTGGCTGAAAAAGTGAAGTAGTTTAACTAACGAGTTTTAAGACTGAAGTCGAGTCGAAGTAGCCAAGCTGAAATAGGAGTAGCGTAGAAACCGAGTAGAAGTCTGGAACCCTACGACAGGTACCACTGATACTGAAGAGAAGCACTGAGGTAGAAAGTCAAATGTAAAAGCCGAATATAGAAGCCGATGTAGAAGCCAAAATCACGAGTTGTTGGATAAGTGTCCAAGAATGGTAAAAGATAAAAAGCGTATAGGGGGTATAGATCAGTCACGATAACGAGAAGGAAGTCGATGGTTATGCTGAGGGCGAGAGGAATCAACTGCAACAACAGGCGGAACCACATCCACGGGGGAAGAAGGATCTGAGGCAGGTACCGAGAAGGACGAGAAGCAAGAGGGGAGGATGATGAAGGGAAAGGATGAGCACGATCGTAAGCACACACGAAAGTTTTAGGTGCGTGAAAGGTTCCCAAGTAGACTCCGGTCAGAGTAACCCTTCCATTGAATGAGATATTTGAAGCGGGGAGGATCACCATCAGTCATACGTCGGGACGTAACATTAGAGATGACAAACTCCTCGTGACCCTCAATGATCATGGGAGAGAGGCGAGGGTAAAGTCGGCGGTGGAACTCATGGGGAGATCATCTAAAGGGGCGCAATATAGATATTATATGAAGCACATCATGTAGGTTAGTGTGATACATGGAATCGGGGCGCTTCAATTTGAAGCTCACCGGACAGTTATGATTAGGTCCGGCAGGTGAAAGAATAGTGCATGGACCGATATATCGACTTTTGAATTTCCAAAGCATGTCGGTTTCGGGCTAGAAATGACGTGCATCAACAACGACTTCGTCACCAACTTTGAAGGGGTGGTCGATGCGAGAACGGTTGGCGCTAGTAGTCATGCGAGTTTGGGAATCAACAATGTTTTTGCGAGCGTTGTTGAGGATCTCATCCATCTCCTTAACCTAGTTGTCAAGGGAAGAACATTGACAACAGAAAAATTCCCACGAGAAATGAAAGTTGAAAAGACATTCCATAAATAAAAAAAACCTTCATGTTTATAAATTATTATTCCAATATTCGTCCAATTTTAAAATTTCAGCTTTATTTGACAAGTTTTCGTCTAAATATGAGGTTTCCCTTCCAATTACATTTATGAAAGTTTGGACGAGTTTATAAAATGTCTTAGTTAAAACTTATTTCTTTCTACTACAATAAACATCTTCTAATTTCGATTGGATTAACCTATTCATGACTTGAAATCCTTACATAGAATAACAATACAACTAAAATATTTCATGAACTCGTCCTGACTTTCATTCCATCTCTAGCACGTAGTTCAAATAAGAACGGATACCCCATTGTTGGAATGAAAGTTTTCAAGTAAGACAAAAAAAATTAAAACTAGAATCATATTTTTTTAAATTGAAATCAAAATTTAAAATTTAGAATGTACTTTTACTACAGAATGATTATTTTATTCTGGAGTTTTTTTTTCTTGTAGTGTTGAGATGCATCTGAGATGGATGAAGGAGATTAGATGGGACAAGAGGGTGATATCCCGAGTCACAGCAGTAAGGAGACATGTCGGTGGCTGCTGAAATAACATGGTTATAAACAATTTTGGCATGGGTGAGATTAAGGTCCCAATCAGAGTCATTCTTAACAAACTTCTTGAGGACATTCCCAAGAGTTTTGTTGGTGACCTCCGTCTGTCCGTCTGACTGAGAATGATAAGAAGAGGAGAAGCGAAGCTCATAGCCGTAGATCTTATGGAGTTC